GGGGGGATACTCCCACTGGGTTTAAACCTGGGACTCTCCACCATTTGACTCTTAGAACTGAAGAAGCTTCTCGGATGAGAGGTGAAACGTCTTCAAGCAACTTAAAGAAGTCCAGACGCTTTTCTTTCCAAGTGATTATACATAGTTTCCTCAGTCAGACTGTTTAAATCCCAACCGTCCCTTTTCCCGCCAGCCACTTTCCTTGAGAACCGTAATCATTTCAGTGAGTTCCTCTGTGATTGGGGTGTGTTAAACATCACTCCATCCTTTCCAGTTTATCTTCTCACCGTGCACGAGCCCTTCCCTCGCACTGAACCAGGTTCTCTTAAGTAAATTACCATTTTATTAGTTCTCTTTATCGCCTGAAACTACATTTAGCCAGAAGAGTAATTAAACCTGGATGACCTGGCCGGAACTGAACAGATAATAATATAGTCAGAGAGGAGAGGAGCGGAGGAGGGAAGGAGGAGACTGAAGAAATGTAGAGGTGGTTTTATTAAATCTGTCAAGTTGATATTTGGTGTTTTCTCTTTTTTTGTGAAGAGTACCTGTAAAGATAACTGTTTTCTATGGTCAAATATGAGCACACATAACACACGTTACAATAATCCAACTACAAACAGTTGTTAGAGGACCTGTTTCTTTCAGTCAACATTATTGGCTGCATCCGTCGACTACGTTTCTCATCTCTTACTTCTTTGTCCTGCTCGGTGTGTTTGAACGAAAAATCACTGCTGTATATTTCTGTTGATGAATCTGTTGCATAACTTGTGCTGATTCACTTCAGCACCTCACATGCCTTAGGTAACACGACCCCAAGGCATCACAGTTATGCGGCACTTCAAATTAGTGTTCATCAATATGTCATATCCACCTAAAATGCTACAAGCGTACCTCCTTGATCTAAAGGCTGACATGAACACACTGTAGCAGATAACTTCATCTAAAATATGTCACCAAGTTGTTTCCAAGATCAGAAAATCTGAATGGTGGCAAAGTTATGAAAAGCAATAGATTTAAACTCACCCAGTGTGCATGAAAATGTAGCTGAGATACCTCCAGGCCTGGGCTCGTAGCTGAGGATGGTAAGGTAGGGGACTTTTTAGGAAGGATGGACTGGAAACTTGCAGGACCAAGCGGTCCATCTGGCACCCATAGTACATGAACACAGCTACCTGGGAGAGCAGAGAACAAACAATAAGTGACTTGCTGTAGTATTTATGATAAGAATAACAAATACACAAATCCATTCATAGATTATTATAGAAACAATGCAAATAAATTACTTCAGTAATTTCACAGGAGTTGAGCAAAAGCTTCTGATTTAATATTGTTTCAATCAAATTAACCTGGAAAAATCAGTGGTGGCATCAACATCAAATACTATTGTTTTTTTGCTTTGTTTTGGTTTTTTTAGGGGATTTTGGGGGGCGGAGCCATCCCTTTCTCACAAAGCTTTGGATGTTTTGCATTTTGTGTTTTGTTGTTTTTTTTCTAAAAACATACAAAAAACAGGAAACCAAGAAGGCGGCAAACACTTTTTCACACCACTGTATGTTTATCCTATTATTAAATGTTTTATATACACCTTATATGGGCAAACTATTATATCACCACCACCACTGACACAAGCCGGATGGATCCATGCTTTTATGTTCTTTATGCCAAATTCTGACCCCACCATCCCAATATCACAGCAGAAAAAGAGACTTCTCAAATAGGTAACATGTTATTCAGTCTTCTGTTGTACAGTTTTGGTGAGTCTCTTTTTCTCAGCTGACATCAGTAAAAAAATACATATATATGTGAAGAAATAATAATTTAAACGAATTTATCCTCTCCCAGTTACATCTCCCATCCATCGTCCATCCTCCCACCCACTACCCCCCATGCGTGTGCAGTGATTTTTCTCCCTTTGTTTGGTAGAAGGGGCAAAAAGGGTTCTTTTGACACTAAAAGTTGCAAACCACTCAGCAAGAAAGATGAAACCTGGACACATTTGGGTGTCCCAACAGAACAATGATTGCAAACACACAAAAACGGAATAGTTTAGGAATAGATAAAGCAGGCTAACATTAAACTTCTGGAATGATCTTCCCAAAACCCAAACAGATTTAAATATAGAAGAGTGTCCAAATACCCGACGAAAATCATGCCAAGAGCTTGCTGATGGCTAGTTCAGGGACATCTTGCTGAGGGACAAATATTAGTGGCTGTGTTTGTATTTATTTGCACCTTTATTTATAATTTTAACCCTGTGTGAATTAGAGAAAATCCATATTAAATTCAAACTTGTGCAGTCAATTAAAGATTACATTATACTATAGAATATGTCGTACAGTCATTCCACCTGGAAAAAGAACAGCTCAGAAATCAATAGCTCAAAATTACTACAACGATCACGTCCATGATGAGTGTAAGTAAACGCCTGACCACAACTGTATAACAGGCACACTGACATCATACTAGAGGTGCACAAGAAGGCACCGTTGAAAAGCATCATGGTCAATTCATATTAAAATGTACTATTACTAAAAGATTCATCACATTTTATGTTCCATCAACTTACCTCTGCGATGGTGATAGCCAGGATGAACCAGGGAGGGGGACAGTAGGTATAGCTGTCAAAGTACCACTTGCGGTCGACCTCACGGGGTAGCGTCTCATAGGCAACGTGGCGGACCAACCGCTGGGACAGTCCTAAGCCTGCCTCGTCTCTGAGACTGCAGCCTTTTAGCTGCCTGCTGCCCTGAAGAATCGCCCTCCGGAAACTGTTGGAGCGCTTGTTGCTCATCTATTGAAACAAACATAAAAAGAGGAAGAAGAAATATTAAGAATGGAAGAAAACTGAAGAGGAGATGGAGGTAAGTACAAATAGTTTAATATAACAGTCTAACTATAACCATCATTATTAAAACTCACTATCAGAGAGTTTTTTCAATTGCTGTATCTGTGAGAGCAGGTACCGCCAATATGGTCATCACAAGTACACAGCTCAGAAACCCACCCGCTGATCAAATCTTCTGTTTACAAGGGGCAGCCAATCGAAATAAAGTTGCTTCAAAGGCAATGACAAGGGAGATAAAACGGCTTGTTTCATGCAGTCGATGAACTGAGGGACTGCACCAAGGCCCAGGATAAAAAAAAAAGGATTATATTGAACCGTGAATCATTCAAAACTACCCAGGCTGAGAGTCTAAGGACAAAAAAATGAAGCAGGAATGTGTATGATTTGGTGCTGTTGGCTGAACAAAGGCATTTTTCACACTTTTGTGATATCCAATAGGTCAAACGATTGACTGACTAAGAAAATAATCTGCAGTGAACTGATAATGAACACTGCCAGCCACCCTACATTAAACAGTACAGACACGTACAGGCATTAAAAGCTAACACATCTTTTGCTGAACAAACCCGTCCACGGAAAAAAGGTGCAAAATCCACAAGAAATGAGGGTTTCCAGGCTTTATCGCATTTGTAAATGTTTCGCCATTTTCAGCAGCCTTTGTTTGAGCGTAACAGTACATTAAGAAGGTCAGAAAAGTGAGAATAATAATAGGAATGTGTTTTAGCTATCTGCCACTTAATTATCTTTACATTTTCCACAAATAACCAGACGAAAAAAATGTTTGCACAAATCTTAAGAGTAACTGAGTAAGGCTTTTTGTTTTGCATAGATGGCAAAAGAAATTCTAGTTTATCCTTTCCAGCTCTCTGCCTAAATCACAGCCGTCTCTATGCCGTTTATTGCACTTGCTGTGTGTTTTATAAGATTCTTGTCCCACATCTCCATCCTTCTCTCACTCTGGCTATCGGTCCCAGTCTTTCCCTTCTCCCCCAATCTGTTTCCAGCTCCGCTCTGTTTATGTGACACTCCATAACTCAATTTTACGGCTATGTCTGTGTCTCTAGAACTGCAGGAAGCCCAGATGTGTCAGTTAGCAGATGCTACTTTAAGGTAATAAGGATGAGTGTTAATGTTTTCAGCAAGGGCAGAGATTGGGGAAAAAAACATAAATGTGTTGTGGCAGCGGAGCTGTTGGCAATAGAGGTAGATGTGGACGGTAATACTGGATCTTCAAAAGCTACAACTTTAAATTGGCTTCAAAATTGCGATGTGTAAGAAAGCTTCAATTGATGTTTATTCAAGTACGAGCACTGGCTTATCAGAAGGAACATTTTAGTTTAAAGCCAGCAGGCTTATCTTCTTGTTTACATCTTGAAAGCAAAGACATTTATCACAGCGAAGCTCAGTTTAACAGAAACTGCACGAGAAATAAAGATAAGAAGGAATACACGAAATCAGAAAAACAATAAAATCTCTGAACAGTTGTCTGATAGTTCTTCTGACGCTTTTTAATGAGACTTTTAGAGTCTTAGGACTCATTGTTTGGAGACAAACTTCAAAAAAGCCAATTATTTCAGCCTTTATATCAGTCACAGAGAACTGTGGGAAAATGATTACAGGTTACCATGGCCACTTCGAGACCGCACACCGAAGCAAGCGCTCTCACAGACATCCCCCCCAGGCAGCCATGCCCCATAAAGACAGTCAATTCTTCGTGTGAAGCAACTGTGATTCCTCTCGTCTTTGCGAGGCACAAAAGAAAGAATAATGTTCTGTCTGTTTTCTCGCTGCCAAGAGGAGAAGGGAGAGGGGCAGAAGAGGTGAGAGGCACTGATGAGCGTTCGGCTAGGAAGAGACAATTTCTCTGTTTGATCAGTGGAAAATACAATCAGAGAAAAGAGACGGAAGAAGAGGCAGAGGAAGAAACAAGTACAACAAGAAGGGGATAGAGAAGGATAAATAGGTGGAGGATCAGAAGAAATATGATGAAGGCTGAAAAGAGACTATAGAAGTGTGTTAGTATGCGGTTTATGCCTTAATGCCTCCGTTAGCTCCACCAGGTCAGCCCTGAGTTTCATCTGTTTTGTTGGATTACCCTCAGTTTTTTGGCAGAGCGCACAATGTTGGCATCAACAGAGCGGCTTTTAAAAAAGCACAGGCAAAGACACACACGCACACAAGGTGGTCACACTAAAAAAAAGTTCAACCAGGCTTAACATTTACCGCAACACACAAAACAACGTCATCCGTCCACATTCCCGGTGGACTGCTTTCCAAGCCAAATGAAACAATTAAAACAACTTCCACTGTCATAGCAGAAAATCCTTTCTCATATGCCACTGTGTGTTTTGGCATTTCCACAGTGTGTCTTGGATTGCGTTTCACTGTCTCCACGTGTTTTCCTGCCTGAATGTCGACGATTGTGTCGAATCACAAAAACAAAAAGATGTTGGGAGATCTTACACCAGCATAAACAAACGTCCACATAAAAGAAGAAAAAAAAAACTAACATAAAGCTCAAGCTCTCTCAGGTATACATAACACAAAACAGGACATGCGAGCATGCATCATAAGTTATGAGCATTACCTGAATTTATTCCACTCGGGCGAGAAACTGAGTGGTTAAAAGTGTAGATATTTTGTAAAGTATAAACACATTACGTAGCTATTTTCTGCCCAGGAAAGCTGTAAAAAAAAAAAAAAAGCAACACATCAGGGTGATGTATGAGAGAGAGTTAAATACAAGGAGAAAAATGTAAAGGAGAATGTAATAAGCATACAAAATAAGAAAGAAATAAAGAGCTGGAACCTGCTGGTTTATTCAATGCAAGAAAGGCAGGTGGAAAGGTAAAGAGTTAGAGAGGATGAAGAAAGCGAGCGAGCAGTGATATGAAAGCTAACTGTGATGGAGCAGTGAGCAGGCAATTACTGACAATCACGCTGATGGAAGAGCTGTGGTGCAAGGGAGAGATGGCGCAACAAATAAAACCCTCACAGTTTGTCTCTGTCTGTCCTTTCCTTTGCCTCCTTTTCTGCTATTCCTCCCTACTCCTCTACTCCGCTCTTTCTTTGCTGCAGTCCTTCTTTCTCTGCCTCAAGCTCCCAGTTTGTAGTTGGTACTTTTGAGCATCGTGCCTGCGTGTTTACATACCACGCATTTCTTCAGATAGTCATAAAATGTTTCACAAGCCTTTTCACAGAGCTGTGGGTTCACATGTGAAGGATCCCACCAACAACATTTTTACTGTTGACCAATCGAAACAGTTCAATGTTAGTGTTAAGGTCCTCGAAATTCAACTTACTATAAAAAAACCTTACTATGTTTTTTTTACAAAGCTCAGGAAATGTCTAAAGATGGTCAACCTTTGTAATCCACCAGTGCAAAGCAGTGAGTAACTGGAAGATGATGATAAATGCTTTACAAATCTGAAATTTTAGCACCTATTTACTCAAACATGCACACCTTATTACCATAACCATGAGTCACTCCTTTCTCTCTTATGTGTTTAGCTGCTGTTGGTGCTGCCTCTGTGAATGTATAAACTATACTTCACTATATTGTACACAAAGATCCACACGCACGCAGACCTCCATTCCTTTCTGTCCCACTTCCAGTTGCACACCATGACCCACAGGCTCTCACGTGACATGAATGCACCAAATAGAAAATGTCCTTTTGACATTTTTCCAAGCTTCCTACAGGCTTCATTCCTCACCCACTGTATCACACAATAAACAGCCCCGAAGAACAAGAGAGACAGGGAGAGATGGACTCTCTTACAGTCAGAGACAACAATGAATTCCCTACAGTCTGTACAGAGATGTACACCCCCACCGCATCCCTTAGCCACCCAGTAGTTATTGTGTACCACATAAGACCACTTCACAGTATCCTGGGTCAGCAGTTGAGTCTCCCACGAGGTATAGCAGCAAGAAAAAAGAAAAGAAAAGGTTATGAAGAAGCTAGCAAGGCTGAAGAGACTTGAGTGAGACCTTGGACAATCAGCGGCGGGCTGTGGTTTGAAGGTGAAACTGTAAGTGGGGCAAGGTGAGCCTTAGGAGGGGTAATTCTCACCAGACAGGGAGTTATTTCCTATTAGGAGCAATCTTGTGTAGCTGAGGTGATTTTGGAATATGGTGGATGTAAAGCTGAAAAAGTTCCAGATGTGGCAAAAAAAAAAAACTGTTCCACAAGTCACAAATAAATCTCAGTTTCTGCAATTAAGGAGACAATTAACAAGTCTTGGCCGTACTTCAAACAGTTTTGGCCTCGTACAGAGTACTATGAACAATTTTTAATCAGTCTTTTTAATGTCTCTAGTGTTTAGAGTTGTACTCTACTGCTTGCAACGTATGTTTTGCTTTGGCGTATTAGATATTCTTTAGCCTTGGGGTTTGTCGAAGCTTTAATGTAATCACAATTAAGTGAAAAGGTGTGACGTCCACGTGAAGTCATAAGTATTGAGTCTTTGACACTCACCAGACACTTTATTAAGTATAGTCGTTCAGCTGATCAAAAAGCAAATATCCAATCAATCAATCACATGGCAGTAACTCAAGTAGACATGTCGACGCATATTGGTGCTAGGCACAGTATTTCAGAAACTGCTGATGTAGTGGGATTTTCTCACATAACCATCTTTATGGATAATACAGAGTTACAGAAAGTTAAATCATCTCACCAGGTTGACAAAGTCCTGATAACAGATCTTTCCATCAGCATTGCCATCAGCAAGGGCCAACAGGACTTCCAGTTTGTGGGGGTCGAGCTCAGAGCCATGGGTGGCCAGCAGGTCCCTGAACCGCTCTGTACTGATGAAGCCTGAGTTTTCGGGGTCATACTGCAAACAAAAACATATGGAAATGCAAAAGATTATTATTGATTCATTATTTGATTGATTATGTGATGATTACCTGTTTAAAAGTATTATTTAAATAGAACAGACAGAAAAATACTAGACAAACGAAACATGGTGTCTTTATGGGCACAACACTTGCAGTATATCAAACAAATAAAATAAAATAAACGTTTTAAAAAGTCTAGAGTAGTCAGTTTCACCTCGTGCACAGTTTTCTGCAAAGCCAAATATCAATACCCTAAAAACCATCAGCAGCGGTTTAGTCATGGTTTGAAGATCTTGCATAAAAGAGCTCTAATTGCTCTAAAAGGCCCAACTGTGGAGATGCAGTAACTTATAACAGCTTTGAATTTCACTTTGAAATGACACCCTGCACCGCATTTAGCCACAGGCTGCTTTTTGCTCATGAGAGGAAGCATTCAGACATATCTGAAAAATAACATACCCAAGATTTTCTGACAAATCCAAATATGTCAAAAGACCTTCAGAGCAGTGATTACTAAAGCACTTAAATGGTAAAAGAGCTTTGCTTTTTTCCTCCACTCTTTTCTTTCCTTTGTGCCGTGTGGCTTCAAATCTTAAGTGCCAATTTATAGTGAAGTTGCCACTCAGCCTATGCATATATACATGCACGCACACAGACATTTAGGGGGCCAGAGGAAGGACCTCTTACAGAGGCTTTCTGATTGCAGAGAAGTGAGCAGTGTTTCTGGAATAATTCTGAGTGAAATGTGAAAAATCGAGCTGCTCATGACGCCCTAAAACAAGAAAAACAGAAAAAAGGTACAGCCATATGCGACAATATCTGTCTGGCCTCAAATTACACTAGAAAGGACTTGAATGTGTTATTTGGATGTTGGGTTGATTGTGGATTCAGACAGAAGACAGCTGCTGCCACTCTGCTTGCCTCTGTGCATGTGAGTGTGTATGCACATGTAACTCTGTCTTTCTCTATCTGTATATTTGCAAATGTGCACATCCATGCATAAAGATGTGGCATTCAGACAATATTAGCCGCCTGCCAGACTTCAACACCCCTGAACCAGATATAGTTACAGCACGCATGCATGCGTGCTGTAACTGCAAACGTGTGGTTGCCATATGACAGCGCTAGCAGAAGCTGAGCACAGCCAGTCTGGCAGCAGGTGGTCTATGGTTGACCAAGGGACAACAGACAGAAGAGGTTCTAGCTCTCTCTAACATTGTGTGTCTTTATTTTTACATGTTATCTAACAGCGATGATGCAGTTTTCATTTAACGCAAGCCCATTTGTACATTTTCAAGCCAGTGTTATCTCTGAAATTTGCATCTAGCCTGAAACTTGTTTATATGCAGTTCGTCTGGCAGCAGACAATTAAATGCAGCTCGTTCCAGCAGGCAGTCATGTGTAGCAAGCATGCCGGTGCTACAAAGTATAGTAAGTAAAGTGTATGCTATGGACTGACTCATCAGACAATGACAGATGTTTTTAACATATGCAGTCGTGTGAAAAAACTAAGTTTACCTTCACTTGCAAAGGAATAAAGAGGTTAAGAAGCAGCAAGTGCTGATGACCAAATACACTTAATAATAACACTTAGATAATCAGCAAGTGTGAGTTTATTAGTCTGGAGCACTCAAGCGTATGTTAACACAATGCCACAATCTTCACAGGTTAGAGGTCCTAGCAAAGTGACCTCTAAGTCAGATGTTCAGAGAACATGCAAAAAATCACTGTGACCATGAATTCCTCTGTATATCAAAGCATTCAGAATCAAATGTGAAATTGCAATGAGCTGAAGCACACCAGCAAACTACAACAGAGGGACGGGAAAAGAAAATGTAACTGGACTTGGTCCAGATCTCAGCCCGATCAAAATGCTGTGGCAAGACCTGCGGAGAGCTGTGCATAAACAAATGGCTGAAAACTTCAATGAACTTAAGGAACAATGTAAAGACGAGTGGGACAATTTTAATCTATCACAACGTGAGGAAGTAATAAAGTCATAAAAAAAATGATGACCTGTGAAAATGTTTTTTCCACTTGACAGTAAACAGAAGAAATGACTGACAGCAGATAGTAAGTGAGACCTTTAGAGTATAGAAAGCATGATGAGAGGCTCACACGATTAATGCATGGAGTTCTCAAATGTTGAAAAGCAGTACAGTTGCAACAAAGCTGTACATTTGCAGAAGAGGAAGTCTTCTGTCTGTATTTTTTAAATAAGCCATAGGTTTTCCCACTTCACTATATAATCGCTGACAATCTGATCCCCTGAGAATCAGCTGTTTTCGTTTTGTTTTTATACAACAACTGATTCATTGAAACCATGCAAAATGAGTATTTTCTGATGCACAGACCCTCGAAGTACATCAGGTGGTGCATTTGAATTTGTCTTCATTTTCCCAGCCTTTTTGAGCCCTCTTACGTAAAGGAGATAGCTACATGAATTTTCAGGTGTGAAAAATGCATTTAAACTCTGATTTTTTTTAAATGGCACAAATGTTCATAGTAGGAAAGTACAATTTTGCATAGCTTCATTAAATATGTTCTGAGGGGATCAGATGGAAACCTTATTTTAGATTTGACTGATTTTACTTGGAATGGTACGGAAGAGGATTAGGGCCACTGGAAAAAAAAAAGTGGGCACATCTTTTTTTTCCAGTGGCCCTAATCCTCTTCCGTAGAACGGCCTTACTACTATTCAATATTATATTCAATATCACATGAGTAATATTACTTTTGATGATGTGACTACTTACTTTCACATACATATCTGTAAGCAATGTTTGGAAAATGTGACAGCAATCTGAGAAAAACCATAGTTTAATGCTAACAGATGTAGCACTGAGAAAAGACAAAATAGGACCACAAGAGTAACCTCACCAGAAGGGAGCCAAGTGCTCTTCGTGCCTAATGACCTCAAGCATACAGTGCTGTGAATAAGCATTTGCCCCCTTCCTGTTTTATTATTTTGTTGTGTATTCGTCACACTTACATATTTCAGATGATCAAAATTTTTTAATATTAGACAAAAACAACCTGAGTCGATACAAAATGCAATTATTTAATAATTAAGGGAGAAACAACTATCCAGACCTAGCAGGCCCTGTGTGAAAAAGTAATTGCCCCCTAGACCTAATAACTACTTGTGCCACTCTTGGCAGCAAGAACTGCAATTAAGCATTTTCAGTGACTGGCAGTGTGTCTTTCACATCGCTGTGGAAGAATTTTGGCCCACTCTTCTTCGCAGAATTGTTTTAATTTAGCCACACTGAAGGGTTTTCAAGCATGAACAGCCCATCCATTTTTGCATTTTTCAATATTAGACAAACAGTCACCCCTGAATATGCTCAAACTTTCACTTCTGAGTGCAACATGCTCTCTTTACTTTATGCACCACCAAAAAATCTCACTTAATGCGTAAAATGTAAACTCTCCTCTACAGAAGTAAGAACAAACCTTCTTTTGCAGATCAGTGAGCTCCCGTTGAAGACATTTTGTCATGATGAAGTAACGTCAGCCAAAGCCAGTCTCACCACTCTGAGCCAGGCAATATGTTCAGTGTGTGTGTGTGTGTGTGTGTGTGTGTGTGTCTGTCTGAGAGAGAGAGACCCTGTCATATTGTTTGTCCCAGACTGTGCAGGGTTATTTCAAACCAGGACTAAAGGATTACAGTCCAATCCAAGACCCCCGCCACACACACCGCCCCAATATTATCCCACACCCACCCTACTTACGAACTCCCCCCCCCCCGCCCCCATCAACCTCCTATCACCCCCCTCCATCTATCCCCTTCACACAACACCCTCTTTACCCTACATCCATGCACCTCTCCTTCACTTATCCCCTTTACTTTCTCACTGTAAAGTAAAATACAAGAACTCCCTCAGAAGAAAAATAAATAGTTCAATAAATGTGCCTGTTATCTCTTCCCATGTCACTCACAGATGCAGACAGCCATGCATTATTTTCCTCACACACACAAACATCTTCCTCGCTCCACCCTGCAACACCACAGGCTTCATAGCTGAGTGAGCACCCTCTGAAGTCAATGGGCAGACTGCTGGGGTGGAGCTGCAGAGGGACACACACTCAACAATGGACCACTGATGGCAATTTCATGCAAGGTTTAGCCAGTTCCTTCACTCCAATTAGTGATCGTTTCTTTCGATGCAGGTCCACGCAGAGAAGGACATTATATCGCACAAAAAACATTTTTGACCAAGACTCTTGGCACAAGCTAAAACTGGCACATTTAAGCAAGTTTAGTTTGTTTGTGTATCATTTAATCAATTTAATTAATTATGAATTAAATGATTAACATTTAATTGCACTTTGCAAAGGAAATGAGTGTGAGCTGCACATAAAGATGTACTAATGCTGTTTTTAAAATTATGCACCGACGTTATTATCATCTGTCTAGCAGTTATGAAATAACTTTGAGTTTTGTTGGATGCATTTTGGCTTGTGTTGTAATAATATTTCCCAGATCTAGAATTTGAATTAGCTTCTATCCCAACACATTTCATTTTCATAATTATGCTATTGTCTCTGCTTCATAAGGCCTGTTTTGCAAGCAGCAAAGGGAGTGTGATGCAAATCTCTCAGATTAAAATAAGCACACACACACATACTCTCAAATCCTGGTACAGACATAATACCATAAAACATTCACAACCAATGAGCCTTTATATTAAGGGCTTCTCAGCAGCCTGTCAGGGGGAAGAGGAGGAAAACAACAGAGGGAGGGGAGTGTGAGGGGTGTTAATGCTGAGGCAGAGGGGTGCATTTTGGACACAATGCAGGGCTTTTTGTCTTCATCCTCATTTTCATAAAGCTGAATATTAAGGAAGCAGAGGGGAGGCAGCGTGTGAGGGTCAGGGACTTTTTTTTAAGGATTTAAGTTTGCATTGAGAGCCTGGAGAAACAACGCAGGCTGTGTAAAATATACTCAAAACAACTCGAGGATGATAAAATCGAACCCTCATTTATTTTAAGT